GAAGAATAGCCATATGGAACTTACATGCTGAATTGCTGGAATTTACTAAGGAGCAGTGCATTTGGAAACTACATTTCCCAAAGGAGCTGGCGTGTGGGCAGGGGAATATATATCTCAAAGCCCGGCAGACTGAGCAGGAAGTGAGAGGCGAGAGATCGAGAGAGGAGGAAGTCTGCTGACGGCTGGAGTATTGGACCAGGCCGTGGAGGCAGAGTCAGAGAGGAAAGAGAAGGTGAAAGGGTCTGCTGATAGTCAGTCTTGCCACGCTGCCCAGTGAGCCAATTTGTAAGCAGGAGACCAGACGGGATGCCAAATCAGGACCGGAGAGTCTATGGGGGCCCCCATCTGCAGAGAAAGACGGACCACTAAGACCTGCCGGACACCCTTGAACGGGTGAGAGAGTCCCATACACCCACTAACTAAGTGATCACTGCCAATTTCATCACATCTGCTACCTGCACATAGTGGCGGACATTACGCATAGTTACCCCATTTTGTGGCCAGTTACAGTGGTGACTTATTCTGGTCACAAGAGTACGGTGGTGTAAGCAGAGGTTGGGCTTTCAGAAAGAGGTGCAGATTGAAAGGTAAACCTAAAATTACTAAACAACCCTTAAGGGGGTAGTGCTACATGCAGTTCCTTTAGTGGATCAGGGTAAACCTGTGTTCACTACAATCAATCATGTGCAAAAAAAAATCCCCCTTTTTTTCCTTTCCCTTGCAAATAATTAACATGACAATAAAAGTTTATAGGGCTCAACTGAGCACAAATGGACCTCAGGATAAGAAGCTGGCACAAAGTATGTAAGGGCTCTTTCACGCAAATGTGCCAATCAGCTCCGCTTGCCCATTTTTCAGGAGGACCTGATCGGAATCTCCATTCTCCTCTATGGACATGTTTCCGTTCACACCCGCCGACATCTGATCCGATCCAGAGAAAAAGAGATGGATGGGGATCCAATTCCCCTTCCATCTGTCGGATTGGGTTGGATGAAAACTGACAGGATGTTCATTTTCATCTGACCACCCATTGAGGAGAGCGAGCAGCTGTGTGTCTGCTCTGCAGCAGCGGAGGGGGACACAGAGCTGTCATCTGCTTGTTCAGATGGGTCCGCTCCGTCTGAAAGGACCTTAAATATTACAGTGGACCTCTGTAGTAAGAACTTAATACCTCTGAGACTTTGTGGAGTAAGCTGTTTCAGTTCAGAGGAGGAGCTAATGGAAAAGGAATTTTTGTTTTAAAGTCCATACCCTTTAAACAAAAAGAAGGCAGATGCATTCAGCAGCTTGGGTAAGTGTAAGGGACCATTCACACCAGAAGCAGTAGAATACATTTTTGACTGTACTCCATACTGCATCGTCAGTCCACAATCCAGGTCCTATGAGCATAGTTCTAACTATTGCAGTGCAGTGAACAAAGTAAGCAAGCTGCATTTTTCTGCACTGCAAACACATATAAATGCACGAAAATGCACTGCAGTGCACAGGAGACAAGTGACTTCAAAGAAAAGAGAAGCTTAGGAGAAATGCACAGCAAATGCATGTAAAAAATGCATGGCAAATGCATGTCACTGCACATGCTTAAATGTGCAGTTAACATGCAGTTTGTGGTGCAAATGGGCTTTACATTTCTTACTGCGCATAGTAATCAGATTGTTCCGCAGCACCAACTTTCAAATCCAAGGATCTCAGCGTGAAAGTGGTCTTTTTGCAGCATTCTAAAGCCTAGCACACATGATGAGAAAATCAGATGAAAACATTTTTTTTGGCGCGATCTTCATATAGTCTGTTTGTTAGTACACAGCTTTCCAGAGCCAATTATGTCAGTTCATGCAAAATTATCCAAGGGAGCAAACATGAACATTTTACTTGTAAGATAGGAGAACAAACAATTTTCATTTAATCGGTACAGTATTCGTACTGATTAGATGGTGGGATGCTGCAGACACCTGTATGAGCTTAAGGCAGCCCATACATTAGTAAATTTCTTTTCCTTCACCAAGAGAGTTGAACAATAAAAAAATGACCCGATTCCCCCATTCACACACTTGATGTGATTGGGGATATCCTCCCGCTAAGTTATTGGTTTCTGACAGCAAGGTGCCTTCACCACCATCAGAATACAATGATCAGTGTGGGAAAAACACGACAGGCTGGTTGTACAGAAGTTGATCGGTAGATCAAATTCTGTACAACCAACCTGTCCATACATGGATCAAAATTTGGCCAGTCCCTGCTAAACCGGCCAAATTTAGACCCATGTATAAATGTCTTAAAGAGTAACTCCACTTTTGTGGAAAAAAAAATTACCTTCTTCTCCCTTCTGGGTGATCTATGTACATTGCAGGAATTTTATGAAACTTATTGCAAATTGCTACCTTTCAGGGGTGGACTGACCATTTGGGCTCTCGGGCAGTGCCCGAGGGCCCAGCGTCAGTAGAGGGCCCCATGAGATGCCCCTGGTACCTTTCATAGGCTTTTTTGGGTGTGGTTTGAGTGTGGGCGAGGACACTGGGGCCACATGATCTTCTATTGCCCGGGGGCCCCATGAGTTGTCAGTCCGCCCCTGCTACCTTTTGTTATTCTGAAGAAATAGCTGTTTGTTTGTCGGTGTCCGTGTGCAGTGTGAATCTGTATGTGAGTCATTTTATCATTATCAATCAGCTGCTGCACTTGCAGGGTTCTATTGAGGAAAGTGGCAGGGTCTGCATCACTTTGTGATTAACCTTTTGGCAGTATCTCACCAAAAATGAAATGTTTGTTGCAAAGGATGCCCAAAATCAGACTTCCGGGAAAATTAGTGAGCCAATCACAAAAGGAAGAAATTAGATTTCTTGGGGGCATTCCGTACGCCATCTTTGTACAGACTGCCTCCATGGTGCCATATTGCATTGCATTTTCAGAAAATTACAGCGCTGCAGATTGAAAAGATGAGGTCATTTTTAATAATGTTATATTACAAGATGGCTTGTGTTGCAATTGTATAGTTTTGTTTTTTTTGCAATATTTATTGCCCTATAAAATTGGAATTAACCTTTAAGTATTAGTATACTAACACCACTGTATTGGCATATAGAAACTGACACCAGGCTGGTTGGTTGTAAATAAGTATAATATTGCAATGCAAAATAAATAGCAATGCAAAAAAAACAATAATCAGGCAAATTAATTCAATGAATGCAATGATCTCACTCACGTGAATACCAGGCTATAATATGACAGTTAATCCAAATCACACTGGTACTAAGCCAAATCTAGCTAATATCAGCAGCACTGGTAAAGACAGCATAAACTATATAAATACATGACCAGCATTAACAGAGAGGAATAATAGTCTCATAGCATCTTCATGCAACAAATGATCAGACAGTGTCCCAGAGTGCACTCTGTATAAATCTCCCAAGTATATGTACAGTATGTGTATATTTTCCTGAGGTGGAGGTAGTTACATAGTACCTGGCACCTGACCTGTACACTTTAGCTAGCAAACAGTGAGGCCCAATCTGTATGGTGGTGCACTTATTACCATCTCTTTAAGACTGCGTGCAGTGATTTGTATGGGGGCTGCTAGACAAGAAAGGGGAAGTTGTATACCCTGTTGTATTGAATTGCTAACACAGTAGTGAAGTAGGCAAAGCTGAATCCACTCACCATTCCTGACATACAGCAAACCTTGTCCTGGATGCTTGTCAGTCTGCAGTACTCAGGAACATGATCCTTGGTGGCTCAGTCCTCAGAAACTCTGGCCTCAGTGGCTTGTTTCTGGTGTCTGCACCCCAGCACAGGTATCTCCAGCTTCGATACCTGCACAGCAGCACACAGCTTACTCATTGAAAAACCCAGGAAGCGCTTTCTCTAGTATATGCATAGATGTGGTACCAGCAACAGGTCTGTAACACTGTGGTCCCCACACTGCAATAATGTTTCTGTGTCTCAAAACCCAGAAAACTCTCTGCTCTTGCCTCCTCTCACATGGAGTTCTTGTGGCTCTTGGCGTTCACAGCTACATTCACCTCCACAGTGCAGCTCTCCTTGAAAACTACATTTCCCAGGGCTCCATGCAGTTGCATTATAGTCATTCTAGTTCTTTCTGTCTCTCCAGCTCCCCCTAGTGTGCGGAGGTGAGAGAGTTAGATGAGTGTGGTAGAGGGATGTAAAAAACCAGGAGAAGACAGTGGTAGTGTCTACTTAGTCAGCGCAGTCACACCAGCATCTCTGCACCCGTCTACACTAAAAAATCCCCCAAAAATGTAATATATTACAGCTTACTAATCTTTAGAAGTGGTGGTGTAAGGGATTTCCGGCAAGATGAATCGCGATTGGAAATGCGCATGCCCTTAGGAATTCCCGGAGAAGAATTACCGGTTGTGCGTGATTGCGCACACGCACGGCGAAGATTGCCGCCAGACGCCCTATTTAACCACTTGCCTACCAGGCACTTATACCCCCTTCCTTACCAGGCCAATTTTCAGCTTTCAGCGCTGCCGCACTTTGATTGACAATTGCGCGGTCACGCAACATTGTACCCATATGAAATTTTGATCATTTTTTCTCACAAATAGAGCTTTCTTTTGGTGGTATTTAATCGCCACTGGGCGCTTTACTTTTTGCGCTATAAATTAAAAAAGTGCAAAAAATTAAAAAAAAAAAAAAAGGTTTCTTTATTTCTATTATAAAATTTTTCAAACAGGTATTTTTTCTCCTTCACTGATGTGTGTTGATGAGGCAGCACTGATGGGCACTGATAGGCGGCACTGATGGGCACTGATAGGCAGCACTAAAGGGCACTGATAGGCAGTACTAATGAGGTGGCACGAGATAGGCGGCACTGATAGGCAGCACTAATGAGGTGTCACGGATAGGCGGCACTAATATGCAGCACTGATAGGCGGCACTGATAGGTGACACTGATGATGGGTACTGATAGATGACACTGACTGGCATCACTGATGGGCACTGACTGGCACAACCGCTGGGCACTGACTGGTGGCACTGACTGGCAGCACTGCTGGGCTGCACTGGTGGGTGGCACTGGTGGGCAGCACTGGTGGGTGGGCACAGGTGGGTGGCACTGGTGGGCACAGGTGGGTGGCACTGGTGGGCACAGGTGGGTGGGCACAGGTGGGTGGCACTGCTGGGCACAGGTAGGTGGCACTTCTGGGCACAGGTGGGCACTGCAGAGTGGCACAGGTGGGTGCACTGCTGGGCACAAGTGGGTGGCACTTCTGGGCACAGGTGTGGCACTGCAGAGTGGCACAGGTGGGTGCACTGCTGGGCACAGGTGGGTGCACTGCTGGGCACAGGTGGGCGGAGCTAGTGGGCCCACTGCTGGGCACAGGTGGGCGGAACTTGTGGGTGGCACTGCTGGGCACCGATCATCAGGGCACTGATCATCAGTGGCCCTGATGATCGGTGCCGATCCTCGCTCTGACAACTGCCGGTTCTCGGCAGTACTTTCCTCACGATCTGACAGCGTGAGGAAAGTGCAGCCGAGAACCGGCACTTGCATTTCCCTGTGATCAGCGTGTCATTGGACACCGCTGATCATGTGGTAAAAGGCCGGTATGATCGGCCTTTTACCACATCTCGTGATCAGCTGTGTCCGTAGGACACAGCGATCACGGAGATCACCGGGTGCGCGCCCCCTGGGGCGCGCAGGAGAGCGCGTTCTGGGGGGACGTCATATGACGTCCACCCAGAACTGGCCGGCCGCTGTGAAGCCGTCATTCGGCTATCTGCGGTCGGCAACTAGTCAAAGAGTGTCTCTGCCCATGTTGAGTGCTGACTGGTCATCAGCTCCCCCGTGTCCTGCTTGTTCCTGTGTGATTCCTTTGTTGCTGACCCGGCTTGTTCCTCACCTGACTCTGATTGCTCTCCTGATTGATACTGGTTCCTGACTTTGGCTCTGCTCCTGACCTTGGCTTTCCTTCTGATTCTGTACCGTGCTGCCCGACTGTTGATGACCCTGGCTATTCCCATGACACTGCTCCTGTCTCTTACCCTCAATACCTGCCTTGCTCTGCATGCCTGGCAATCTACAAGACCCTCTCTGCTTGTTACTACTGTGCCTGAATCAGAAGATCATCAGTCTTCCAGGGTCATCATCTGCAAGAGCTGCAAACAACAACTAGTGGCGCTCTTGTTCCCCTGGGTCCTAGACTCCCTCTGTTCCAACTCCAGTGGGGTCAGGGCTAGTGATACAAGTGAGGGCGACCTCATCATTTCAGTCTCCCATCAGGTACGTGACAGGTGGTTACATTGCTTTTTTCAGGCTAAGTATATGCAGTGCTATTAGTAAACAGATGAGCTAAATTGTCAATGCCCTAAGCCCGCTTAGTTGGTCATAAGGTCTTGGGCACATTCTTCTCAGGGGGTGATCAGATTTAGGATATTCAGAATTATGGAGGGCAATCACTTCAGTTCAGGTTTTTGTAGTTTTTATTGCACATATTCAAAGAGAATGGGAATGATGATGGAGGGATCACAAGATGCCTGCAGGTTTCTACTCAAAACTGCATTCTTTGGTTTTCTGCACGACTTTCTAAAACTTTTTGGTTCCTTCTCTCACAGGGATATGGCTGGACACCTAAACTTGTGGCTTATTGACAACTGAGGTTTTAGTTGTATTTCAGTCTTAGTATTCAAGGCAGAACAACATGGCAATGTCCCAGTGTTACTTTCCCACTAATACAGTCACTCATATCATCTATTATATCATCTATCCTGTATAATAATAATCTATTACAGTATCTTTAAAGTTAAATCTAGGATTAAAGTGCCACACCCGGAGTATTTTTTTTTTTAATACAAACACAGTTTATTTGGTTTCAGATGAGCAGTACAATAAAAAGAAAACCACCAACAAAGTAGAAATATCAGTTGAATAGCTTGTACATACATTCATATAGATGGATTACAGTATATATAGATTTAATCCAGTATTAAAACATAGATTACAAGTATACAATTCTCTATGCATAGAAAAAAATATTTATAGCCAAACATGTAACATCGTGACTCATAAATTGCTAGCAATTCAATAAGAAGACCATGTAGCAATCATGCCTACAGAGATGGACGCGGTTCAACCATTTTGGCTCCAACCTCCATCTTGGCAAAGGATCCTCCATGTTGTACAAACTTATTTCTGTTCAGCCACAGTGACATATGGCCTGTGTGTTGGCAGTGTCACAGGAGGCCAGAGCACAGCAGGGAGCCCCAAGCTATAAAACCCCTAAGGGAGCTGGGGCCTTGCTGTCCAAAGCACCTGTGCACTCTAGCACATCATAAAAAGATAACCCAAGCCTTCCCCTGAGTTCAAACACATTCCAGAAGAGTAGAGACTAGATAACACTTTTAAAATCCATTTTTTCCCCTATGTCTCATATCTTGGAATATGAGAGACTTATATAAAAACCAGGCCTATCTTCAGATTGCCCGCGAGAAGACAAACAGTTTGATAGGTCACACTCCCTGACTGGAATACCTAGGACAGCAGAAAATTACATCTCTTGAACCCTTCGAATATGTATTTTATATTTCATATGTAACCCTTCCTCAGGTGTGTCTGCATATGAATCTACCTGCGGGTGGAATGTCACTTGTGCATAGGGAAAGTTAGGAGCAAAATATGAACTATGAGAGATTTCGCTCTAGTTTAGGTATCTGCCCAGATGATCCCTCCCTAAACGAGGCATTGGTCCTTGACTTCAGAGACACCCCCTGCTGAGGGACAACAAAATGGGCTGTCAGGCCTAAGAGAAGTTAAGTTGAAGAACTCTCCCTTTTAACATCAGAACCAACCTGGGAGACGTGCCCTTTTGCTTTGAAACTTGATCTGCAAACCCAAGGCTGATTGGCAAGTACTTTAACCCTTTAACCTCCTTTCTGTTACCTCTTTGCTGTGCTGTTCTCTGTATATTTTATATATATATTGGTTACATCTTTTTTCTGTAAATATTTTTATTGCACCTTTTTGACCTTTTTTTAGTAATAAATCCTTCTTTCTGAAAGTGTTGAACTGTTTCTATTGCTCTTTATTGCAACTTACGAATTCCTGCCTCTAAAAGAGCGCTACCGTGTTTGTGTAACCTTCTGTATAACCTGTCTGCAATGACAGTGCTATACAGACAATTATCTCAACCATTATAGTGTTATTGCTGGTATTGCTGAGTTTCCTCTTTCTCTATACAAAAATGAGGTGGTGGCAGTGTGAAGGGTTAATTGAGTAATTAACCTGACCCAGTAACAATCGCATTCAGGCTGCATCGATTGGAGGTCCAATGAGCTGGAAAATCATTGTGCAGGGTGCAGCTGGGCGTGGCATCGTTACACACGTGACATCGTGGTTTCAGATTGGCTAGTCTTCGGTCACGAGTTTGGTGAGAAGGTCAGGGGTCTGACGCCGCGATCGTCACAGACCACATCTCCTATTTATGATGAAAGATATGTAAGAAATGCATGACGGTGTGGTGGATTCTATCCATCAATCTAATGGCTTCCATTCTCTGTAATACTCCACACCAAGAGACCATAGAAGAGAGTGTAAATTGAGAGCTATGGCCCATTGTAAAGCACTAAAGACTAGTTTTTGGATAGGAGGTGGCACGTCTGGTAATGGTGCAAAAAGTAGGCACATCGGAAGGGTCAAAGTTATTTGAACTTCTGTGATCTGAGCTACCTTGAAGGCTTGCCTTTTGCCAAAGTTGTTTAAGTGCCTTACAACTCAAAAAAATTATGGAGAAACATGCCTTTCTCTGGGCAGCCTCTAAAATAGGTCTCAGGGACATTTGGATACATCCTGTAAAGTTTAGCCGGGACCAGATACCACCTCGTATGGGGCTTCACCACAGTCTCTTTTATAGCAGAAAAACGAGCACACTTATGCATGTTTAAAAGCATATACAACCAGTCCTCCGAGGAGAACTCTTGAGCTAACTTAGTCTTCCGCTGGACCATAGCCTTAGAGTTGTCAGTGAGATGCAACCCATGTAGGTAACCATAGATCCTGGAAATAATGTCTTTATCCCTAGGTGAATGATAACAGATCTGCTCAAAGTATGAGTATAGAATATTAGAGTTAAGTTGGAATTGAGATGTGTAAAAAATGTCTAATTTGTAGAAATATATAAAATTCAGATTGTGGTAAGCCATATTGTTATTGAAGGGAGGCAAAAGAGCAAAAAGAAGTCTTCTACATTAAAGGCTTAAGCGTAAATTAACTCGTGGTCCACCCATCTAGAAAATCAATTGTTGCCAGAAATGATGGAGGGGTTCTTTTACAAGGTGAGGGTTTACATATACTTTAATATACAGAAGAATATTAATTCACTCATAGAATCCACTTTTTAAATTAAACAACAAATGCTGTAACAAATATCAAGGATGAATATAAGAGGGAACAAACTGAAGAAATTAGGGTCTAGGGTTGAAAATCCCTAGAGTTAGGTTTAAAATATAGGACGAAAAGGGTGGAGAAAAAAAGGAAAATAAATATATATATCATATAAAAGGTCTCCTGCATATTCTTTTGAGAGTGGGTCAGTTCTTCAAAGTCACACAAAATGTTCCATTTTTCAAAGCTTTCAAAGTACAATAGCAATCAATGTCACCAGGTACCCACATCCTATTTCAATATGACTAGTTAAAATAGGCTTGACTTTACATCGCATAGTGCAAAGCCTTTGTAGCAGCTCTTCATCTGTTACTTCTGTAAAAGGACACAACATCACAATAACATATGAGAGCAGCACCCCCCTACAGCCTGTTACTTCTAATAGCATAAATAAATGACATTTCTAAGCTCAATTTAAAAGTCTATCCCTGGCTAATACTATAAGTACCACCTAGTAGCAAACTTCAAATGTCAATTAATCCATTAAAGAGCAGAGTTAGGTTTTTTTTTTTAACCAGAAATAAAGTTTATTGAATAAAACAAAGATGTGTTCCAGAGTATCTGTGTCACAATAACAGAATTCAGCAAAAAGAACAGTCAGCATGCAGATGGGCAGCCTTACAAGTTACTCAGACATAGTACAGAGTGAAAACAGATGTCATTTCATATCTTCACCCTCCATTGGCCAGAAGACAAGGCGAGACGAGAGCATCATATCAATAAAAGTAATACCCAGCAAAATCAAGTCTGATCCATCTTAGGGAGGATGCCATACACTTAAGGAGCCAAACTATAGCCTAACAGACTTGATAAAACTAGTTCCACTGGTTCTATGCCAGGTACCTATAACCAACCAGCCCATATTTTATCAAATTTAGCCAGACATTTCCTGTGTTGGTATATATACGTTTTTCATAGTGCAGAGTGGTATTCAAAATGGCAATCCAGTCCTAAGTGCATGTGGGTTAAGAGCTCTTCCAGGACAGCAAGAGCACCTTACAAGCCTGGAAGAGGGCTCTAGTTATCGCCTCTTTAACAAAAGCATTGGGGATCACAGAGTCCAGAACGCCCAATATGTAGGACAAGGGGTCCTAAAAACAATTTAATTGATAGGC